AAGCAACTTAAAATATATAATTCTTCCATGCTGAAATTAGTTGATTTGTATGAAAACATTGGTTCTTCCTATGTGTAAACTATAAAACTACCCATGTTTGTGATTTTTGGCTATAGGAAATAGTCCTGTTTTTGGCCTATTTCTGGCTTTTTTGCAGTTTTTAATGTTTGGCTACAACTTGGCCTCCTCGGAGGCTTAAGTTGGCTTCCACTGGCCAGTAGGGTCTAGCAACCCTGGTGGTGATGAGTGTTGCTGACTGCCTGAATTCATTCTGGTCAGTAGGAAAGGCTATACCTAAACCCTAAGAGTCTCTAACCCGGCCGTATAGCAAGGTATGCATAAGTGACGTTCAGGTTTGAAAATGTCAAATTCAGTACTATTGTTTACACTTAGCGTTCACTTAAAAGATAAAGAAAAAATGTAATCATTAAAGTTTAGATATGGAAATACGGTAACTAGGCCTGGTTGGGATTGAGGTTATTTTAAGATAAATAATATGTTATTAATTCTAGAATTAAGGATTTGGAGATTCTTTCGTGACTTGTAGATCTTACGGCAAATAAGTTAGTTCGTTGTTTGTTTGTTTGTTTAAAGTTAAGCACAAAGCTACGCATTGGGCTATCTGTGCTCTGCCCACTACGGGTATCGAAACTCGGTTTTTGTGTTGTAAGTCCACAGACATACCGCTGTGCCACTGGGGGAGGGGGTGATTGGGTTCAAATTAAGTATTTGTAAATATCCAATAAATCTAAAAATTCCTATTTCTCAATAAATCTGTAAATGATTTGTAAGTCCTAAAATAATCCAATTCAAAGCCCGTTGCATAATAATCATGTAGAGGACACTGATTTTAACCCCATAAAATTCCCGTTGTATCTCAGTTACCGTGGATTTTCGGCAAGACGCGTGTAGATTATAGTTAATAGTATGATATTATCACCACTTTGTTGTTCTGATCCTTGAAATTCGAAATCGTTTTTGGTGATAACAAACTTCAAAGAGTTTCTGTCATAGTCGCTTAATATATATAATTGAGATATAGTACATTACTATGAAAATTATGTATGTTATGCAAACGATTTATCGAGTATTTCAGTCATACCTGGTGGTTAGGGCACTCGACTCGCAATCTGCGGGTTCGAATCCTTGTCTTATCAAATAGACTCATTTTTCAACCGTGGGGGCGTTATAATGTTTGGTCACTCCAACTGTTCGTTGGTAAAAGGGTAGCCCAAAAAATGGCGGTGGGTGGTGATGACTATCTGCCTTCCTCTAGTTTTTCACTGCTCAATTAGGGACGGCTGGCGCAGATAGCCCTCGTGTAACTTTAAACGAAATTCAAAACAAAACTTTTAATCATGTTTTACCAAGCTAATACATGTGGAGATATATGAGAAAAGCTGAGATTTCTGTTTCTGTTTTTTATCATTATTATTTAACTTAATGTTTCTAAGTAGTTTAACTTTATATGGCTTAGTCTTTTTAGACTTATATATATCTAGTTTAAATTACCACGTACGTAAAAAAAAAAAAAAAAAAAAATATCAGTTATACGCTGCCCTTTAGTTTTATGCGAATGTCCACGACAGTACTGAATTTAGTCATATATTACTTACCTAAATACAAAACTAAATTTAGAAACCATTGTTTCTCAAATACATGAGGGGATCTTAGGGAATAAAAAACAGTTGTAGCTCAAGCATGAACACCTCGCTTCTGTGGAACTAACCAGTATTTCGGGCGAAATTTTCAATTACTTGTTTTCTTGAGATCAACGTCTTGAGAGTTCAGATAATTTGTAGTGAAGAGTTTTGGTCATAGACTTATAGCTATCATTTCGTGGAGTTTTTATCTTTATTTAAACCATTCCTCATGGAACTAATTATTTCTCAAATAATTCTCATAAATGTTAAAACTTATTGAATGCACACATTTTTATATCACTGCATTATATTTCTAATATCAAATACAATCAACTAACTATTAAGTGAGTTAGTAAAATTTTCGGCTTACGTTTCATAGGAAATTAATTTATATTAATGAGGGCAATGTATTTCATTTTTAGTTTACGAAATGGTGGTGTTTTGTTTTAGGACTTTCAGATTAACTGCGTAATAGTGTGTGTGCATAGATTTTTTTGACTAAAACTATATTATCTATATAACTCGCCTTTCGGCATATATTTAAAAGTTTAGCCAGTTGTAATTAGGCAGTATTATCTATATATTTCTAACCTTATACTCAATACGATTCCAGTCTTCCGGGAAAAGTGAATGCGGGCGATACGCTTTAATGATAAGAAATCACTTAACTTGAACTCAGTATGCACATGACTAACGTCACATTCTGGGTGGCTCGGCTTAAAATGGTGTATACGGACTTCAGAATGCATGTGTTTTGCATCGTTACCGCCTAAAATACTTTATTTTTTCTTTAAGAGAAGGGTTGAAGTTTGAAAACGTGGCTCATTTTGAAATGTAATTTATGTTTCCTGGTTTAAACCTATTCTTATGCGTTCTCACATCGCTTAATCTATATCAGGTTATACATAGCCTAACTAGCATATCTGTTAAAATACACACTCTGCTGCACATTCACAACTAGAGGGCGTCATGCAAGACAAGATGTCACACCTAGCTAAAATAATAATAATAATAAAGTTGGAACCCATAAAAAAATTTTAATCATTTCACATGAATTTATAAAAAGCACCTGCTAATTTAAGACGTTGATGCTAATGAATAATTATATAAAAATAATTTTAATAAATTCATACTTATGATGTTCAAAAAGTCTAAAGTTTTGCAATTTCAAAAAAAAATATTTCTAAACTTAAAGAACAGATGTAGGAGAAAAAATACCCATCATACCCTCACTCGTGTGCTGAGCTATTGTTGCCTGTTGTACATAATATAAACATAAAAAGTTTGGAAATTTGGATATTTGGTAATTTAATAATGTCTAAAATACGTAAAAAATACGCTTTGTTTTATTTTTAATTATCAAATGGTGAAGGTTTAACTCCTTGACTAAGGCATACTATATTAATCAAATCATTCACGTTTAGACAAAAAGCACTACTACGACAACATCTGTTCTTTAAATGAGACTGTCTTATTCATCTTGTTAAAGGATTGGCTTTTCGATAGTTTGTAAATTATTACTTACAAGTTTTCCAACCAGTTTAACAAAAAATACAATATCTAACGTAATTATAATACATCGGCTTTTTACTGCCGTAGTCTGACATAGGTTAGGGTGCTAGTCTTAAAATCTGCGGGTCACGGGTTCGAATCCCTTCACTGACCATACTCTCCCATTTAGTCGTGGAGTCGGTATCATTTGACGTTCAGTCCAACTTTTCGTTGATAAAGAGTAGTCCAAGAGTTGGCGGTGGGTGGTGTCGACTATTTGCCTTCCATTTAGTCTTATCGCTGCTTAATTAGGGACAGCTAGCGTCGGCGACCCTCGACCAGCTTTGCGCGAAGTTCAATGAAAGAAAGAAAACCTTACTGCTGAAATGTAGAGCTTAGATTCCGTGGTTCGAGTCGTGCTACCAGCAATTTAAAAAAACAATAAAACCTCCATTCTTTGGAGACATGAGACTGTTATAAGAGTGATGGACAAATCCCACTTCGATCATACAAGAGTTGAGAGTGGGTGCTGGTGGCTAGCCGCCTTCCCTCTGATCTAAAAGTTTATATCAGGGATAGTCAGCGTAGATAGCTTTTGTTTAGCTTTGCGCAAAATCCAACAAACAAACAAACAAACCTTGCTACAGGTAGCGCTAGCCTTTTAAATAGTTTAAGGTTTTTATTCACTAAAAATGAATAATTACATATTTTTATCTGCTATATCCAGTTTTGTAATTATTTGTTACTTTTTTGGTCGATAGAAGGGAAAAGGCCCGGCATGGCCAGGTGGTTAGGCGCTATAATATTTGGGGGCGTTATAATATGACGGTCAATCCCACTATTCGTTGGTAAAAGAGTAGACCAAGAGTTGGCGGTGGGTGGTGATGACTAGCTGCCTTCCCTCTAGTCTTACACTGCTAAATTATGGACGGCTAGCGCAGATAGCCCTCGTGTAGCTTTGTGCGAAATTAATAAACAAACAAACTAGAAAGGAAAGAGACTTAGGTATTTAATTTTATGTACCATGATTTTCAAAAACTTTCAAGACTTTATCTCAAGCTTTTAATAAAACAATGCTTTCCAAAAAGACAACATTGAAAATTTAACAGGTAACATGATATTTTATTTTACAACTTTTTTACGTAATAGAAAAGAGTCTTTAATTTCGAAGAAAATAATTTCACGAATTATTAATTATGACTTCAAGCAAAACTCCTGTATAATTCAAGAGAATTACATATTACACATAATTATACATAATTAGATAATATATGTATAATTATATGCAACAAGAATACTCTTCGAGATTCTGTATAATATACCCCCAATGGCACAGTGGTATGTTAGCGGACTTACAACGCTAAAAACCGGGTTTCGATACCCGTGGTGGGCAGAGCACAGATAGCCCATTGGGGAGCTTTGTGCTTAATTTCAAACGAACAAACTGTATAATATCTATTTGTAAAAATATTTTGTCCCAAAGCCTGTTGTGAAATGTTTCAAAACTTCCGTTATTTTCAAAATGTTGTACTGCTTGCCCTTATACATTAATTTAGCCTTTTTTTACTAGGTGTCGTTTGTACTTTGTACTTCAGTAACTTCTATTAAAGGATCAAACACTCAAAACGTACACTGTGATTTACTTAATTTTAATTTGATTTACAGTTCTTGAAGCGTGACAGAAGATCGGTATAGAAAGTTACGAGTATATGCTTTATTGTGTTCAAAGTACGCACAATGATATTTTGTGTGCATTTGGTAATATACGGTTGTTAGTTTGTGTTTGAATGTATCAGTTGCTTCCCTATCTAAAGTTATGGGTTGGTTCAAAATTATGATTTTTTTTTATGTTTATAACTATAACAGTTGAATTTGGACACCACATCTTCCCTGATCAAACCATGGAATACAACACTTTCTTGACCTATTGTCCAAGTTCAGACCCAGTTGGTGACTTCGTAAGGCCTGGTGTTGAAAAGCTCAACTCTGAAGTGCAGGAATCATCCGAATTAAGTAGCACATGTGATGATTTTCTCGGCATCCAAGAGCCCAGCCTAGGTGCCGCTAGTGTAACATCTCAACGAACTGTCAATCAAATGTTGAGGAATAAAAAACGACAGACAAGTCTCACACTGAACTGGTGAGTATCTAAATATAACCTCTGGCGTTATGTATAAAATATAATTTATATCATATAGCTCATATTTGAAATAAAGTTAATTTAAAGTCTAAGCAATGAAAAACGTCAAGTCAAATGAACTTTGAATCAATGTTTTATATTAAGCTGGTTGAGCCATAGATAGTTGAACAAACTAGAAAATGTTAACATATTTAACTTCATGTCGTCGAGATTCCTAGTTAACTTCGAATCAGTAGTCGCAATCTGTTGAAACAAAGATCGAGAATGTAACATAATTTTCAAATTAAGAATTTCTTTTGTGCTGAAGATCGAACATTGAACCCATTATATTTATCGGTATAAGGGATCAATCTATATTTAAAGGGTTGTGGAGAAAAATTGCATTTCAGTTTGCAGTAAGGGGGAAGGGATCCTCTTATGAAGATTCAGAAGCTTTTTTTGTGTACCTATATGTCTAGTATTACTACATTTAAATTCATTACACATTTTAATAGGTGGATTGTTGTTTCCTACCTACCTCAGTATCTTTAAGAGAACTTTCCAATACAGCCCTCTCGTGGCTCAGCAATAAGTCTGAAACTCATAAGAACTAGGTTTCGATACCGCTGGTGGGTACAGCTCAAATAGTTCTTTGCACATTTTTGCAGTTAATAACAAACTCTGGGGCATCAACTCTGCATTTCGTTGAAGGTGGATTCCTGAAAAAAAATTTGAATAATAGGATCCTTTTTTTTTTTTTACTTTTGTAGCTGATGATGATGCTGACAAGTAACGAGTCTACGTTTG